CCCATCCTTCTCATTAAGCTACACAAAAGCAGCGAGGAGGAGGGAGCTAACAGCCAGGGCCACCCCTTAAATTGGTTGTAAGAAAGCAGATAGGTCTGTTGTGGTGAATTGCAACCCACCTTGGCATGAATGAACGCCAGAAGCTGCTTTAGTCAGACCATTAGTACATCTAGCTCGGTATTGTTGACACTGTCTGACAGCAGCCCTCCTAGGTTTCAGGCACAAATTTATCCCATTCTTTCACTATGTTGCGTGAGAGTATTGGTCCATCTAATTCAGTATAGTCTGCACTGACTGGCAGAGGCTTTCTGGGGTTTGAGGCAGGAACTTCTCCCAGCCATTCCCAGAGACTGAAAAGCAGGTGCTCTACAGGTAAGCTACGACCCTTCCCCAAATTTGCCTTTCAGATTGTTGAAAAAAGCATGCTACGCTTTTTTGACTAGGGGGGCTTTAGCAGCCTTCAGACCCACTGTGCAGGTATTTAATCCTGTTGTTGTTGTTTTTAAGGAAGTCATTTGTAGTAGAGGCCACTGTGGCATCTTTTTCAGTGAGTGCTGTAAAGCCTGTTAGGTTTTTAAGAGGATGAAGGAAGAGGGAATAAGGGATCTTTGATGCAGGCTCTGTCAAGACTGAGGGGAGCCTCTTCCGCTCGTGACTGAGGGAGTGGGGCTGCTGGTCTGAGTCAGGATGATGCTGCAGAGCCGAAAACATGAGGAGCAGGAGGGCCAGTGTCAACGCTGTTTCATGTCAAGAAAAACAAATCCCTCAGCTAATTTCACTTGGAACTCTTTTTTTTTAACAGTCAACATAAATAAAAGAAAAAGCAAATCCTGGAGCAGGCTGACATTTACAAGGGTCACTCTTCAAGCGATGTGTCCAGGAACGCTAATCATACATGCTGATCTCGGTTGCCTTTCTTGGCTGTTGTCCTAGCTGGATCCGTGCGGGAAGCCTGACAAGTGTCCTGCTGGCAGCCACATCGCCGGACTCATCCCGTAAAGCGGGAGAGAGCGCCTCAACTTGAGGAGTTACATTCTCATACCCAGCCTGGCAGCAAGGTTTTGTGAGCAGGAAACGGAGGGCAGGACTGTCCAAAAAAAATGCCGTTCCGTTGAATGGGGAAAGGGGTGGCATCCCATTGAAACACCACTCTTCCTAAAGTTAGAAGCTGACTTCTACCCAGGCCAATGTTTCCCGAACTTGGGTCTCCAGCTGTTTTTGGACTACAATTCCCATCGTCCCTGACCGCTGCTCTTGCTAGCTAGGGATGTTGGGAGTTGTAGTCCAGCTGGAGACCCAGGTTCAGGAAACACTGTGACCTAGCTCAGTATCTACGCCAGCCTTCCCCAACCTGGTGTCCTCCGGATTTTGTTCTGATTCGAACTCCCACAAGACCCATGCTGATGGCAACTGGGTGTTCAACAACATCTGGAGAACATCAGGCTTTGGAAAGGCTGGCCTGTGTTGACCGGCAGTGGCTCTCCACAGTTTCCAGGAGTCTTTCCTAGCTCTTAACCGGAGAGGCCAGGGATTGATCCTGGAGATGTTGTTTATGCCGAGCACATGCTTTGCATGAGGCAGTGATGGCCACCAACTTGGATGGCTTTAAAGGAGGATTAGACAAATTGATGGAGGAGAATAAGGTTATCAGTGGTGTTCTACCTCCACTGCCAGAGGCAATATGTCTCTGAATGCCAGTTGCTCGGGAGAGTTGCTGTGGAACTCAGGTCCTCCTTGGGACCTTCCCACTGGGCCATCTGATTGGCCACTGTGAGAACAGGATGCTGGAGTATGATAAGCCTTTGACCTGATCCGTCAGCGGCTTCCCCACTGCTAGGGTGAATGAAGGGACATAAACCTTGTGGCTGTCCCTGACTTCAAGAGCATGACTATTAAGGATGCGTCGTTCTCATAGGAGCATTCAGCCATGCATTTGGATTGGCGCTTAAACTGGAGATGTTCAGAATGTGGATTTTTTTTTTTAAGGAGGGCTAGCTTCTCCTTAGGGACGCGGGAGGCGCTGTGGGTTAAACCACAGAGCCTAGGACTTGCCGATCAGAAGGTCGGCGGTTCGAATCCCAGTGACGGGGTGAGCTTCCGTTGCTCGGTTCCAGCTCCTGGCCACCTAGCAGTTCGAAAGCACGTCAAAGTGCAAGTAGATAAATAGGTACCACTCTGGTGGGAAGCTAAACAGCGTTTCTGTGCGCTGCTCTGGTTCGCCAGAAGCGACTTAGTCATGCTGGCCACATGACCCAGAAGCTGTACGCCGGCTCCCTCAGCCAGTAAAGCAAGATGAGCGCCGCAATCCCAGAGTCGTCCGCTAATGGACCTAACGGACAGGGGTCCCTTTACCTTTACCTTCTCCTTCCGTGCCATGAATCACACAGGGCAAATTCCACAACATCTATTGCTCACCTAGTGGCGAGTCTGCTGGAGGCCGAACGCCGGATGTATCCAACGGGTATCCAGACTTTTTAGAAAAGTGCAGTAAGAAAGCATCATTTGCTAAAAGGCTGGCGATAATAGGGCAGGGATGCTTTTCAGCCCCCTTCTTTGCACACCCACAGAATTGGCTTCTGCCACAAGGCAAGAGAGTCTACAGGGAAGACTGCGGATAGGGCAGGATGTTGGGTCCAAAGCAAGCTTCTGCCTCCTTCTCCCTCCTGGCAGAGAGAGAGAGAGAGAGAGCGCGCAAAGGGGCCCATTCCGGGCAATCGGCTCGGTTCCCAACAACTGAATTTGCTGCTGTGTCGTTCAGCGGCCAAAATATTCCAGCCGGACCTCATCTGGAGCTTGTTCCAGTGACCACAGCACTCCCCCGCCACATCACTGCCACAGCAGAGACAGCCTTGAATGTGTGCCTGCACCCCCCTTCCCTAACCTTTCCCCTCACTCTGTTAGGAAGAAGAAAAATGCGAGGCCCATAGAGCAAAAGAAAAAAGTGCTCTGCTCATCCACCAATCCTACAAACTGTCCCAGAATCAAGCAGCAGGAGCTTGGGTGGTGGTGCTTTTCATGGGACTTTGGCTGCCTTATTAAGCAAATGTCCCCAAGATAAATGGGCATAGAGGTCCCCTATTGTATAGCAGTGGCAGGTAGGAGACTTACTGCATGTCTCATCTCAGAAACAAGGCCCATCCACTCCAGTGGGATTGACTACTATGTACATATAGACCCAAAGAATTGCAGAGTTGGAAGGGACTATGAGGGTCATCTACCTCAACCCCCTGCAATGCAGAAATCTTTTGCCCACCGTGGGGCTCGAACCCATGACCGTCAGGTTAAGAGTCTTGTGCTCTACCAACTGAGCTGTCTCAGCTTGCCCTCTGTCATGTACTGCCATCAGGTGGCTTGCGGAGAGTTACGGTTGTATCCAATGCTAGCCCTGCTCGGAGTGGAGCCATTGAAGTGAATGACCTGACTAGGGTTTAGGCTGCTCAGCAAAGATGGGAATGCAGTGGCCCTTAAGATCTTGCTAGACTCCAACTCCCATCACCCTTGACTTTTGGCCATATTGGCTGGTGCCGATGGGAGTTGGGAGTCCAAAAACATCTGGAGGGGTCACAGATTCCCCCAGCCCCGGTTTAGTTTTTCTGCTTCCACATGGATGCTTTTTCAAGGTGGACCCTGATTTCTTCATCTACAACCAGATCTTCAATCTGGTAAGATTAGTCCTTACCGGTTCCTCTCTCCCTGTTCCACCAGAATCTCACTCCTACCTATTCATTTGTTCCATGTGGGTAGCAAATACTTCCTGCTGATCACTACCTGGTCTGTCTGTGGCATCTTTGTTTGCCTTTAATATGTACCAGGGAAAGAAAGCAATGAGCCTAGTTCCATAGTTCTGCTGTGGAAAGAACACTTTTGATTGATTGTGTGGGGCAGGGCTTACCTGCCCCCCCCCGATATTTTATTCAAGTTGGCACCCCTGACTGTAACTGTAAGTGGGGTCAGGTGGTGCCTCTGTGCATGTGCAAAGTACCCTTCCCACACTCTGCCCAGGCCCCGCCCCACACTGGCTCTCTTCTATAACCTCATTAAAGGCAGTGTGTCCTTGAACTGTGATAAAACCTCTCTCTTGCCTGGATAGAGGGCAGAGAGGGCATCCAATCACATTTGCTTTTGCCACTCTCACCACTAGCACGGGACCCTGGAAGGCTGTCCACAAGGAGAATATAGCCCCAGGCTGAAAAAAGGTTCCTCACCCCTGGTCTAGGATCTACAACAGGTAAAGGGAAACCTTTGGCTGCACAGGTGTTTTGGATGAACTACAACTCCCATGACCCCTGGCCATAGCCCATGCTTGCTTGGGCTGATGGGAGTTGTAGCTCAGCAACATCTGCATGGCCAAAGGATCCCCTCATGTGGTGTGAATACAGAGTCCTGGCTTAGATTAACCCCCACTCCCCCAGCAAGTATTACAAATAGCCTTGGGGGTCGGGGTGGTGTGGGGGAGATAAGGAAGCTTATCTACAAGGCAGTGTTAGAAACTGAGATATCAAAGCTAGGAGCTTAATGGCACCTTGCACCTAGGTTATGGGCGCAACAATGTCTAGGTGCACTTTTTTATAGCAAGAATACAAAGCTGAAAATGAATGAACTGCAGCTAAAATATTAGGTTCATTTTTCACATGGTCTGGTCCTTCCCCTGCCCACCCCCCTAATATTCTTAAGAGGGTCTCTTCTCCAGTCTTCAGAGAGTAGCTGGAAGTGGGGAGGCAGGAAAAGGTCCTCCTTTCCTTCTACTTTGCAGTTTTAATCTGAAATCTTAGGCACAGTACAGCGCCCAGCGCTCAGAAACTGCTTGCGCTAATGAAATTCCCTGTCGCAAAGTGCGCCTAGAACAATGGGAGTTTTGAACAGTGCTACAAGGGCTTGTGATTTTTTGGGAAATTACTTTGGCAGAGAGAGAGGGAGAGACACAGGTCGTGAACCTCATTCTGCACAAACCCCACAAAAGTGACCCACAGTGATGCAAGAGTTCATTTTGACGAGACGTGTCCTGGAAGATGTCTTGGCAGATTGCACCCCGCGTTTATTATGTGGGGAGATGCAGGAAGGAAGGGGGACGTTGCCCTTTAGATGATCTGCCTCAGACGCCCCCCAACCCAACCCCAACGTCTTCCTGGTGGAAAAGCAGTTGCATCCAAAATCGCTCCATTACACCACATTTTCTTTCTTTTTTAATTGCCCCCCCTCCCTTTCCAGGATCAGCCACTAGTCTCAAACATTCATCGTTGCAAAGGGCGATTTGTTCCAGGTGTGACCTTTCCTTTCCATTTTAGGTCTGTAGGTGGAGGCAGGAGGGTCTCCGGGTGATGCAGGTGGGGGGGGCACACTTTTCCCCCCAGCTCCATGGAGCAGAGCAAACCCCTGTCCCACAACATCGCCCCCCCCCCCAAAGCCAGGAGGAAAGGTTTCTGGTTCTGGGCAATAAATACAGCCGGCCAAAGAGGACAAGGACGACTTTGAAAAATAAAAAAAGACAATCCGTTTTGGAACTTTTAAATATTTTTCCTTAAAAAAAAATCTGTTTCCCTTTGAAGCGTCTCCCAAGCGGGGCAACCCCGAAGCGGTCTCTGGGCCCTGCTCTGGCCACCGAGTCTGCTCTGCCCATGTCACCGGCAGGTGTGCATCTCTGCCACGCGGTGGCACTGTTTACACTTGACAAAGCAACACCAGTGGAACTTGCAGCTGCACCGCTCCACCACCTCCACCTCGTCCGTGTGGAAGCCTCGGCCGCAGCACATCAGCTCGCAGCCGTCGATGGCCTTGGAAGTCTTGTTGCAGTGCCTGCCGCTGGTGCCCAGGACGCCGTTCCTCAAGTCGTGCTCGCAGAAGTCGGGGCTGGAGTCCAGGTAGACCAGGTCCTCGTCCGTGTGGGGCTTGAACTGGGAGTTCTTGGGGACTAGCACCTTGGTGGAGCCCACCTTCCGCTGCTCGACCTCCGTGGCCCCGTCAAACTTCTCCTTCAGCACGTTGCCCACCTTGCGGAAGGGGGGCATGGCCTTCCAGCAGGTCTTCACCTCGCACGAGCCGGACACGCCGTGGCACTTGCACTCCACCCGCATGTGGTTCAGGATGGCCTGGGTGGGGAAGGAGCAGAAATTCATTTACTTACAAACACGTTCCTTTCTTCCTTTCGTTCTTTAATCCCCCCCAATAGGTGGCGCTGTGGGTTAAAGCCTCAGCGCCTAGGACTTGCCGATCGAAAGGTCGGCGGTTCGAATCCCCGCGGCGGGGTGCGCTCCCATCGCTCGGTCCCAGCGCCTGCCAACCTAGCAGTTTGAAAGCACCCCCGGGTGCAAGTAGATAAATAGGGACCGCTTACCAGTGGGAAGGTAAACGGCGTTCCGTGTGCTGCGCTGGCTTGCCAGATGCAGCTTGTCACGCTGGCCACGTGACCCGGAAGTGTCTGCGGACAGCGCTGGCCCCCGGCCTCTTGAGTGAGATGGGCGCACAACCCCAGAGTCTGTCAAGACTGGCCCATACGGGCAGGGGTACCCCCCCAATAGAACAAGACACAAACAACAAAGCGGCAAACGGTGACAATGAGGACGTGACCGACATTTGTGACATCTTATTCCAAGGCGGCATGGCTAGCCAGTGAAGCTGAATGTTGGGAGATTCAGGGCAGGTTCATTCAGCGAATGGTTCAACGGCAGAACCTGCTCCTGCAGGTGGCAGTGATGACCACCAGTTTGGATCAAGAGAGGATTAGACAAATTCATGGAGGGCAAGGCTAGCAATGGCTGCTAGTCGCAATGTGCTGTAAGCCGCCCAGAGTGGCTAGGGAAACCCAGCCAGTTAGGCGGGTTATATATATTAAAATTGTTACTATTATTAAATTGACTATCATCAACCTCCGCTGAATACCAGTTGCCGGGAATTGCAGTTAGGCAGTAAGTGCTGTTGTGCTCAGATCCTGCTTGCGGGATTCCTATCAAGGGCACTTGGTTGGCCACTTTGAGAAGAGGATGCCTGACTAGTTGGTCCTTTGGCCGGATCCAACAGGCTCTTCTTATGTTCTCAACTGTCTTGTTGTTGTCGTTTTAAATTATATATGAAACCGTTTTTATTGCTAATGGGTTTTTCGTGTTTGTGTGAAATGGCTTCAAGATATTTCATGGAAAGAGATTCATAAACTGCAAACACTTTAGGATTTCGAGGCAGGTGACACCCACTACCCATATGTCAGTGGGAGTGGGATGGGGGAAGTGCTTATTTTCTGGGGGGGAAGTGGGGGAACTCAACATGAAGCTTGTTTGTATGTTTGTTTGAGGCCCAGTCGCAGTGGCATACCCGACACACCGGTAACGTAAAGGGACCCCTGATCATTAGGTCCAGTTGTGGCCGACTCTGGGGTTGCAGCGCTCATCTCGCTTTATTGGCCGAAGAAGCCGACGTACAGCTTCCGGGTCATGTGGCCAGCATGACTAAGCCGCTTCTGGCGAACCAGAGCAGCGCACGAAGACATCGTTTACCTTCCCGCCGGAGTGGTACCTATTTATCTACTTGTACTTTGACATGCTTTCAAACTGCTAGTTTGGCAGGAGCAGGGACCGAGCAACAGGAGCTCACCCCGTCGCGGGGATTCGAACCGCTGACCTTCTGATTGGCAAGTCCTAGGCTCTGTGGTTTAACCCACAGCGTGTCTGATTAATAAATTTAAGCAGACAATGTTCTGGAATAGAAAGGGCCACAACTTTATTGATTACAGATATCAGTGGATTTTTGGCTCAGGCATTGGGTGTATATCTATTCCAGTCCCCAGACACCCCAAGCTCCAGCTGATGGTACCAAATGTACTGAGAGTAAAAGTTAGTCCACATCTGCTAATGCTTCTCCACGGAAAGACAGAAGACACCCCCCCCCAAACATGGCAGCTATTTTAGTTTTTTGCCAGTTCTGCAAGCTTTTTTAAACGTTGCATTGTTCACTTGGCCATGAGAGACATGGTAGGGCAACACAGTCTTAACCGACCTGATGCCCTGCCTATGTGTTGGACTACAATTCCCATCAGCCATTGCTGGCTGGAAAGCTTTGGGGCCCAGAAAAAGAAGAGATGATTCAAACTCACAGAGGAGGGCAGCGCAGAGTGCTCATTCCTCCTCTGTCGTCCGAAAGTCTTGACCAGCTGTTTCCCACACATTCAAGTTTCTCTCTGCAGGTTTAAGGGCTAGAAACTTGTTCTCTTCCAAAAGCCAGCAAGCGCAGGAAGCAGTGTGTGGCAGCCCCGGGAAGCAAGATGCACAAGCCTTCTGCTCTTACCTTCCTCCCGGCTTCGTTGTTATGAAGGTTCATGAGCGCCCTGCTGGAGGAAGCCCCTTTGCTCCTCTCCCTGACGTCAACGAAGGACTGAGAGAAGGCCACTCCGTAGGCAATGTTGTCGGAACAGCCGGACCACTGGAAGCCTGGAGCAAGGAGGCGAAGGAAAACAAAGGGCAGCACTTACGTGGGGAGGACAGCATGACTCATTCCACAGTGCTGCAGCCCAATGGCAAGAGAGGGACTCCCTCCCTCTTTCTCCTCTGGGAGGCTACAGGGCAGGGGTGGGGAAACTCAAATGTGCCCCCCAGGCCTCTATCTGGCCCTCAGGACTCCCCCAGGCAACACCTCCTGTCTTCAGGAGACAGAGTTTTGCTCTGTGCACACCTTGACGCTTTTGCCTGTCTTGAATGTGTCCTTGAATTGTGACATGCCTTGCATGCCTAGGGGTGATGGAAGTTGCAGCCCATCAACAGCTGGGGAACCAAGTTTGAGAAAAGCTCATCTACACCAACAGTGGCCTACCAGATGACGATGATAAATTTATCATTTATATGCTGCTGATCTGACTGTGTTGCCCCAGCCACTCTGGGTGGCTTCCAGCAAAATACAAAAACACAATAAAACATCAAACATTAAAAACTTCCCTATTCAGGGTTGCCTTCAGATGTCTTCTAAAAAGTCATATCGTTGTTTATCTCCTTGACATCTGACGGGAAGGTGTTCCCCACAGGGTGGGCGCCACTACCGAGAAGGCCCTCTACTTGGTTCGCTGTAACCTCACAGTGAGGGAACAGCCAGAAGGCCCTCGGAGATGGACCTCCATGTTCGGGCTGAATGATTGGGGTGGAGACCCTCCTTCAGGTATACTGGGCTGAGGCCGTTTAGGGATTTAAAGGTCAGCACCAACACTTTGAATTGTGCTTGGAAACATATTGGGAGCCAATGTAGGTCTTTTAGGACCAGTGTTATAGGGTCCTAGCTGCCACATTCTGGATTACTTGTAGTTTCCGAGTCACCTTCAAAGGTAGCCCCACATAGAGCACATTGCAGATATCCTGGAATTCCAACTCCCACCAGGTCTAGCCAGCATAGTCAGTGGTGAGGGCCGATGGGAGTCGTAGTCCAGTGACAACTGGAGCAGGGAAGTTGGAGAATTCCAGTGGAGGCGGCAATGGGGGCAGAAATTGCCAACGTTTGCTTATTTTGTCCCATATCCAGAAAGGAAATACAGTGGTACCTTGGGTTACAGACACTTCAGGTTACAGACTCCGCTAACCCAGAAATAGTACCTTGGGTTAAGAACTTTGCTTCAGGATGGGAACAGAAATCATGCTCCGGTGGCGTGGCAGTAGCGGGAGGCCCCATTAGCTAAAGTGGTGCTTCAGGCTAAGAACAGTTTCAGGTTAAGAACGGACCTCCGGAACGAATTAAGTACTTAACCAGAGGTACCACTGTAAATCGAGTGAACAATAGCCAGCATCTGCTGCTGCTGCTGTTGCTTTCAGTCTGCAAAATGACGCATAATTGCCGTTCCTTTGCACATACAGGGATTGGGGTGGAGTAGCACAACAGCAACACCATTTACATAAGCAGTTATATAAAATACGCGATTTGGGCACAGCAGACAGCACAGCAAACAACGCAACTTTGGGTGGAATGGAAACAGTGCCACATGCGACAAACTTGGCGCAGAGCGGAAAATGTCCTGACGTCCCTGCTCTGGAGGGCTGTTGGCCGCCCATCACTTCAGTGGTCCTACCGCCACACCTTGAACTCCCACTCATGTACTTACCCTGAGGGCTGACCCCATGGACCGTGCGGTCGCACCCGCATTTGTCGAGTTCCCCGCTGCTGCATGCCCTCGTCACGGCAAAGGCAACACCAGCAGAGGAAATTGCATACACAAAGGCGGCCTCCCGTGTCCCTGGTGGAGAAAGCAGAGAAGAAGAATAGAACTGTGACGTTGAAAAGGGACCCAAGCTATCATCTAGTCCAGGCTTCCTCAAACTCGGTCCTCCAGAGTTTTGAGACTACAGTTCTCATCATCCCTGACCACTGGTTCTGCTAGCTAGGGATCATGGGAGCTGTAGGCCAGAAACATCTGGAGGGCTGAGGTTGAGGAAACCTAATCTAGTCCAACCCCCAAAAGAGGCATGAGTTAGTGCATAACCTGTGCTTGGGTGAGTGGAACTCAGCAGTGTTTTAGGGGACAAACCTACACGTTACACGGATCTGGCCAGATGGCTCATTCCTCTGTACAAGCCCGTCACCAACCTGGTGCCCTCCAGATGTGTCGTATTGATAGGAGCTGTAGACCAGAACATCTGGAGGACAGCAAGCTGGCGAAAGCAGTTCTGCACAAAACCTGCTTGTTTATCTGCTTCTCTCTCTGCTTGCTGTTCATCTTTGCATTGCTGCTGTTGGGAGAAAGATCCACAGCCCCCTTCTGAAAACAAAACAAAGCATGGCGAGGAATGGAGATGCACAGAGATGCAGTCTGTGGGTAAAACTGAGGTTTATTTATTTACTTAACCTCAGTTTTACCCATGGACTGCATCTCTGTGCAAGGAAGACCATCATCAGGTGATTTGCTCCTAAAAGGCACTAGAACTTCAGTCTGCACAAAAAGGCAACACTACCCAAACCTCTGAGTCCATTGGCCCCTTAATGAGCAAACATCATAATAATAATAATAATAATAATAATAATAATAATAATAAAATAAAAATAAAAATAAAAATAAAATTTATACCCTGCCCATCTGGCTGGGTTTCCCCAGCCACTCTGGATGGCTCCTAACAGAACATGATAAAACATCAAACATTTAAAACTTCCATAAACAGGGCTTGCCATGGGCCCCAAATTCTTAGGAAGGCAAATAAAACAAAGTCAACAAATATCAGTATATGACCAGCTTCTATTAATCATCAAATCATTTTGCTTTTATATCTTCGAAGGAGGGAAATGGTGGTGGTGGAATTTTTTCTTCCGACACTATGAAAAAAGTGAAACTCTGCACCTGCACACAAATTATTTAGCAACGAAGCAGCAGCCTCAAAATGCAGTTGTATTGTGGAATATTCGTATACAGAGGTTCCTCACTGGCAAAGGAAGTGAACTCTTTATTTCTAAGGCTCATAGTTCATTCATTAGTATTGCAGCATCCCTTGTGAACTAGGGGCAGCTGGGCTCATCAACCTTGGAAGGTAGCTCATCTAGGAGAAGGGAAACTCTGATCTGAACTGCCGCTGCCTCGTGGGATATCTCCGGGAGAAGAAAAGTCTACGGAATAAACCCGGCACAAATCGGGAGTGGACAGTTGGATGGCCCCTTGTATGCCTCCTTCCGGCAACTCCTGCAGCCAAGCTGGTGCCAAACATATTGCACTGCTTTCCTTGGGACCACATTAGTGAGACCAAGAGGGGGGGGGTCTTGTTGTCTGGGCAGCCCAGGACCTCCACGCTTGCACCCTGGGGAGGTCACTTCAATGTTGCTAACACAGCAGTTTGACTTCACCCAAAGAGGCGCACTCCATTGTCTACACCACAAGCCATTGTGGTGTAGTGGTTAAGAGCGGTAGTCTCGTCATCTGGTGAACCGGGTTCGCTTCCCCGCTCCTCCACATGCAGCTGCTGGGTGACCTTGGGCTAGACACACTTCTCTGAAGTCTCTCAGCCCCACTCACCTCATAGAGTGTTTGTTGTGGGGGAGGATGGGAAAGGAGAATGTTAGCCTCTTTGAGACTCCTTCGGGTGGTGATAAAGTGGGATATCAAATCCAAACTCCTCCTCCTCTTCTTCTTCAAGACAGACGGATGTCAACAACAATACCGCGTGAGCTGCTTTTTCATGCCAGCTCCTTTTCGAACCCTAGGTCTGCATTCACTCCCGGCACAGTCCCATTGACCGGGGGGGGGGGGCGGGCGGGCAATGCCGACCACTTTGGGAAACGAGTGTTCTGACAGTTCCTAACTCTATTCCTTGCTAACTCTTAAACCAGGGGCCAGCAAACTTTTTCAGCTGGGGGCTGGTCCACTGACCCTCAGACCTTGTGGTGGGCCGGACTATATTGGGGGGGGGGGAATGAACAAATTCCTATGCCCCACAAATAACCCAGTGATGCATTTTAAATAAAAGCACACATTCTACTCATGTAAAAACACCAGGCAGGCCTCACAAATAACCCAGAAATGCATTTTAAATAAAAGGACACATTCTACTCATGTAAAAACATGCTGATTCCCGGACAGTCCGCGGGCCGGATCGATAAGGCGAATGGGTCGCATCCGGCCCCCGGCCTTAGTTTGCCTACCCGTGTCTTAAACCTTTCCTTCTCCACCATGGTTCCAGACCCAGCCTGTATGCTTGCTTGCTGAGTCAGTATTTGAACCCGTGCAGTTCCAATTAAAGCCTAGCAAGGAAAATTAAACACACACACACACCCGTCTGAAACTCCTCTCAGTAGAGTCCAAACTCCTCTCTAATACTCTTTCTGCTCTGCTCCCAGGCTGGGAACATCTACCAAGCCAGGCTGAGAACTCCTCTTATTGCTTTCTCTCTGCAACTCTGCAAAAGCAGGGGGTGGAGGAAGAGAAGAAGAAGAAGAGGTGAAGCTATGTTGGTGGCTGTGTGTGTTCTTCTCGCTACCTCCCCCCCCCTCGCCCCAGCCACCCTCATGTGGGTAGGTGCATGCGGGTGGAGTTAACGAAAGAGGAATATTGGTTTAGCAGTTCTCAATTATGTCTTGCAACACTCCGTCCCTGCCAAGGGGTGGTTAGACTGGAACAGACCCTTCTGTCTTGGAAGATCCTGGCACAGGCCCTACTGAGAGGCCTTTGCTCCATTCTCACAGCCCCAAACAGCCAGCAGGGAAGGACACAAATGCCCTTGAACACACACACACACACACACACACACACACACACACACACACTCCCCAATCCCAGAGCCTCAACAGGAGAGTGGGGTGTCTGGGAAGGGGGGTGGGCGCAGAGAAATAAAACGTCCCGGCGGTCAGGACGGCTCATTCACCAGAGACTCAAAGCAACTGAGCGACCTCCGAGTTAATCGAGGTTAATAGCAGGCCTAGCATCCGTGGGTTTCGCTCTGTGGCCGCCCGAGAGGGAGACGACTTCACTCGCTGGTATTTCTGGCATTTCCAGGGCGAAACCTTTGCAAGCACAAATCTGCAGCCCTGCTCTGAAGACGGCCGGAGGAAAGTTAAATGAGGAGGCGCAGCAGTGGCAAGGATGCCCCCAAACCAATCCCAGACCTTAATCCTGGACATTTGAACCCTTGTACAAATTCATGGGAGGATGAACGGTCTGATTTGGCACCTATCAGCTGTGCCGGTGAAACAGAACCTCCACATCCAGGTGCAATCTACCTTGGAATCCAGAGTGCTGCAAACAAGCAACAGGAGGAGTCTGCCGCCTTCGTGCCCCACTTGTGAGCCCCTTTCCCAGAGGACCCTGCTTGGCTGCTATATCTAGCGCACCTGAGCTATGAGACTCCTGAGCGGGGGTGGGGTAGGGAGGCGCTACCTTGTGGCCCCGCATGTGTTGCTGGACTCCAATTCCCACCAGCCTCATTCAGCAGGGACAATGGCCGGAGATAAGGTAAAGGTAAAGGTACCCCTGCCCGTACGGGCCAGTCTTGACAGACTCTAGGGTTTTACACCCATCTCACTCAAGAGGCCGGGGGCCAGCGCTGTCCAGAGATACTTCCGGGTCACGTGGCCAGCGTGACATCGCTGCTCTGGCGAGCCAGAGCCGCACACGGAAACGCCGTTTACCTTCCCGCTAGTAAGCGGTCCCTATTTATCTACTTGCACCTTGGGGTGCTTTCGAACTGCTAGGTTGGCAGGCGCTTGGACTGAACAACGGGAGCGCACCCCGCCGCGGGGATTCGAACCGCTGATCGGATCGGCAAGCCCTAGGCACTGAGGCTTTTACCCACAGCGCCACCCGCGCCCCATGGCCGGAGATGCTTGGATATTAATCCTGCCTATCTTCAACTTTGTAATGCATAGGACTCCAGCAAAAGTTTGCCAGAAGGAAAGAACAAATGCAGACAGCTGCTGGAGATGTGGAAGTAAAAAGGCAAACTTAGTACATATGATGATTAACTGCCCGATGATAAGATCATTTTGGTGCGAGGTGAGGATATATATAGCAAGAGTAATAAAAAGAAATTATTTGGGGGATTTGAATTTAATTCTAAATTATATACCGAAAATGTGGGAGATTACAAGGGGTAAAAAAATATGGATGTACCGTGCCATGTTAGAAGCAAAGAAACTTGTTTTGATGAATTGGAAGAGCCGCAAAAAGATCCCATTGAGCACATGGATTGACAATATGGACAGACTAGTTACATACGAACGAACTGCATATCGACGCAAATTAAGAATGAATAAATATGAAGAAATCTGGAAGGAATACTTAAGCGATAAGGCGGAAAGTGGTGGGAAGTAGGGGGAGGAGGTGGGGAAATATTGTCAGAAAGGTTTAGTTATAGGTATATCAGAACTCAAATCTGAATTGTTAAATTGTGTTATTAGTGTTATTGTGGTTTTTCTTGTATGTGGTTTTTGTGGTTGCTGTTTGTACTGAAAAAATGATTAAATAAATTTTAAAAAACACACCTTTGTAATGCATAATACTGGGCTGGCCGGTCAGTTACATATCCTACGCATTGAATTGCATTATTTATTTATTTGTTTTTTTAAAAAAAATGATTTTAACTGTGAATCACCACCTTGAAGGCCAGGTTGGGGGGCGTGGCGCTTTGGTCCTGAAAGCCTTTATAGAAGTATGCCTCCCTGCAATACGTATAACCCCCCCCCCCAATCTTGCTATGTCCCAGATGTCTGCATCTTTCCTAATCAACGTGCTTCTATAAAATAGGATAGCTGCTGCTCGAGTTAGACCATTGCTTAGGGCTGGGGGGTATCAGCTTTTCAACACTGCAGTGCATCACCAGTTTGGCGATATACCGCAATGTTGAAAAAACAAGATGCATGGGCCTCTGCCCGAGACACACCAGATGAAACTGCCCTAGTTCTCACCTCAAGGCAGTTTTACCCAGGCTTGCAGCCTGGGACAAATGCAGTTTGTTTGCACTGCTCAGCTGGAGGGAGGGAAGGTCCCCACCCCAGCTGAAATAGCCCCAGTGCTCTCGCTGCTTACGTGTGAGCTGCAAGAGCATCAGGGCTCCTTTAACTGCTAACTGTGAGGAGCAGCAACCACATTCCCCCCCAATTTAGCAGTTTCACAGAGCCCCCACCCTGCAGTTTGTGGGAACCAGCACAGGGCTGGGGGCTCCTTTAACTGCTCAGCTGAGGCAAGGGCAGCTGCACACTCCTCAGCTGAGCAGTTTAAAGATACAGAGGAAAAAGCTGTATCAGCGCCTCACCGATACAGCTTGTTTCTCCCTCTCCGTCGTATGAGGGCAGAGTGTGATGGCGGTTTCACTCAGCGATATATCGCTGCTGAAACTGCCGCCACTTTTGAGTCCCTCTGCTAGCAGCGCTGCTGGAGGAAGGAACACTCGCAGACACTGTTAGCACAGGGAATTGGGAGAGGTGGTGATTTCCCCAGTGATATACAGTGGTACCTCGGGTTACATATGCTTCAGGTTACAGACGCTTCAGGTTACAGACTCTGCTAACCCAGAAATATTACCTCGGGTTAAGAACTTTGCTTCAGGATAAGAACAGAAATCATGCGGCGGAGGCGCGGCAGCAGCGGGAGGCCCCATTAGCTAAAGTGGTGCTTCAGGTTAAGAACAGTTTCAGGTTAAGAACGGACCTCCGGAACGAATTAACTACTTAACCCGAGGTACCACTGTACTGCTGAGTGAAACCGACATCGTGGTCTGCTCCTCGTACTGGTCCTGGACGATATATTGATGTATCGCCCGGGCCTACCATTGGTCCAGCTGTTTTGTATTTTCCACACTGACGGACTGCCGCTCGCCAAGGTTTCTGGCAGGGGAAATTTCCAGTTCTACCTGGAAACAACAGGGATTGAATCTGGGAGCCACTGCAAGCAAAGCAGGCGTTTTTACAACTGTGCCATGGCCCTTCTGCTAATAAAAAGCCAAGACGCCAGTCCTCATGATTCTGAGAAAAGCTTGCTTAAATAGGGAGACGCCTCACCCCAAGGCAGACCATCGGGCCCATCTAGCTCACCGACTTGCAACAGCTCTCCAGGGTTGTCGAACAGGGGTATCTCCCAGCCTGGGGACTGAACCCAGGACTTTCTGCATGCAAAGGGGAGGCTCTATCACCGAGCTATGGTCCTCCCACTACCCAGGGAACCTTCTGCATGTGGCCCAATGCACCAAAAGGGGGGACAGGCCACCTCACCTTGTGTCACCACTTTCCCAAAGACTGGCAGGCTGTCCAGCATGGAGCAGTTCCAACGGCGGTTGCGGAACTGGAACTGGCACTCCTCAATGGCCAGCTGTGCCCCCCGGCGCACCGAGTCCATGACCTCCAAGTTCCTCTTGCACATCTGCACCTGCCGCTGGATCAGACCCTTCAGCTTCTCGCAGGTCTCTTCCTCAGAGATACTTCCCACAGAAGACAGCTTTGCCAAATATCTGCTAGGACGATATGGGGATGGGGAGAGAAGGGAGGAGGAAGAAGGACAACAATGAAGTGAGCAGTGGATCCCGGTCACCTAACAGCCAACCCAGTAGCCAAGGACCATTGCATTTTATTTTATTTTTGCACTGAGCATGCAGGTTTTAAGAAATGCAAATAGCAGCAGGTGTGTAAAGATCATTTAACCCTTTCCTCCATTGCTGTGGCCCAATGGCTTTGCCTACAGAAGGTCTCAGGTCTGATCCCTGGAATCACAGAATCACAGAACTGGAAGGGCACCCCAGGGATCATCTAGCACAAACCCCAGTAATCTTCATGGAGGCGTGGGATATATATACTCTGAAGCGGGGGAAGAGAACCTTTTCAGCTGCACAGGCCAGGAGCATATCAGGATCGGTCTCCTGAGGCCAAATTTGACAAGTGGGTGAGGCTGCTCAGCTGTCAATCAACTGATGCCCCAAATGACATTAGGTGCAAGGTGCTCTGAAGTCCTCAAGGGTTTTTTTTTTTTTGCATGGAATCTTGCGAAACTGAGCAGGATTCAAACCCCGGCCCATCAGGTGTTGAGCAAAAAAGGGGTAAGATCCTGATGTGTTGGCTGCGTGCCCCATCTGTTCCCTAAGGGGAAAAGGTGCACACATCCACTGCAGGGTTTAACCTTCCCCTCCTACCCATCAGATGGCATCACAAACCAAGTCAGCTGATGGGCAGGCGAGGTTTGTGGTTTCTGACAAATGGCCTCAGGGCTTTCCAAGATGGGCCCATGGGATGGAGGTACCCATCCTGACAAAGGGAGTTCTAGCAATAATGATCAGAATCGCAACAGACAGGAGGGGTACATAACCATTGCTGCAATCCTGATGAAAATCCCTTATCTTCCTTTCTTTGTGAGGAGAAACCCCCATTTCTCCCTTCCATATCTGTTGTGATTCTGATAATTATCATTATATCCTCTGCCTCATCTGATGCTCTTTTGCATTCCCCCCCCCAAAAAAAAACTTGCACGTTAAATGCAAAGGCACCCATAACGTCACATCTGCTTTGGCCCCCAACTCTTGTCCAAACAACTTCATTCTCTTTAATATACCACCCATATTTTGCTCAAAGAGCTCCCCATGGTGGCTAGCCACATAAGATCATTCAACACTCTAGTAAAATACATTGGAAATACCCATGAAAAGAAAAGGAAAAAGAAAAACCCACAAAACAGCAGCAGGAAAACGAAACAGCCGCCGTGGCTACTCCATCTCTGACCCTGTCTCCAAACGCTTAGTGAAAAGAAGATGCCTCCGCCAGCTTTGAAAAGGTTAAAATAAAAGTGAGTCACATACATCACGTTGCCTAAAGAATCCTGGGAACTGTAGTTTACCCCACACAGAGCTACCACCCCCAGCACTCTGATCAAACTACAGTTCCCAGGATTCTCTGGGGGAAATGATGCGCTCTAAGTGTGATTGAAATATATGAGGTGTGTGCAGCCATGCAGCCAGCTCACATTTTGCTGCTTAGTGTGAAAGAACATAGGAAGCTGCCTTAGACGGAGTCATCCTGTTAGTCCATCTAGTCCAGTAATGCCTACACTGACTGGCAGTGGCACTCCAAGGTTTTGGGCAGGGGCCTCACCCAGCCCGGCTAGAGATGCCAGGGATTGAACCTAGGGGCCCTGCTGCTGAGATACAGCCTTTCCCCACTGCAAATACATGCACAGTGGTACCTTGGTTCTCAAACGCCTTGGTTCCCAAACGTTGAAAACTCGGAAGTAAGTGTTCCAGTTTTCAAATGTTCTTAGAAGCTGAATGTCTGATGTGCCTGCACCACTCAGAAGCTGCGCTTTGGTTTTCAAACATTTCAAAAGTCAAACGGACTTCCAGAATGGATTAAGTTTTGCGCTTTTGCTATTTATTTTGCATTTTTGTTTTTGAGGCTTTTTCAGTTAATTTGTTTTTGTGACTGTGTGGAACCCAGTTGAGCTACTGACCGATTGTGTGACTGCGGAAATGGATAAAAGCCCCCCCACCCAAACAATGACTATCATCAGTACAGGTAAGAAAATTTTTTAATTTTAATTTTATCATCTACAATACTGTCTTATCTATTTTATAGTACAGTACATTGATTATTGGGATGTGGGTGTCGCTGTGGGTTAAACCACAGAGCCTAGGGCTTGCCGATCAGAAGGTCAGCAGTTTGAATCCCCGCAACGGGGTGAGCTCCCATTGCTCGGTCCCTGCTCCTGACAACCTAGCAGTTCGAAAGCACGCCAGTGCAAGTAGATAAATAGGTACCGCTCCGGCGGGAAGGTAAATGGCGTTTCTGTGCGCTGCTCTGGTTCACCAGAAGCAGCTTAGTCATGCTGGCCACATGACCCAGAAGCTGTACGCTGGTTCCCTTGGCCAGTAAAGCGAGATGAGCGCCACAACCCCAGAGTCAGCCACAACTGGACCTAATGGTCAGGAGTCCCTTTACCTTGATTATTGCTTTCATTTAATGGATCAATGGTCTCATTAGATAGTAAAATTCATGTTAAATTGCTGTTTTAGGAGATGTTTTTTTAAAAGTCTGGAACAGATTAATCTGTTTTGTATTACTTTCTATGGGAAAGCGCAGCTTGGTTTTGGAACACTTTGGTTTTGGAATGGACTTCCAGAACAGATTAAGTTTGAGAACGAAGGTACCACTGTATAGAAGTTGACTCAACAGGCAGCTAAATGCTACCCCCAGGACTTGCAGTGAGACAGCCTGCTCCACTGCACCCAGGCCAGCAGGCTAACTTAGGGAATAAAGACCACACACCTCTGACTTCAGACACCAAGATGCTATTGCTTGTCCACCCCCTGCCAACACCCAGTGCTTGCATTTGCCTAACAGCAGGGCCGGCTCTGCAAAGAGTTCTCCATGGGATGGGCACCTGACCAGTCACCCCAAAAAGATTTCATCAGCTCCCCACTCTTATACCGTTACTGTCACAAGAAGGAAAGAGAAGTTCTAAAAGCAAAGATTATGATAACTACCCACCAAGGAAGCGGATCGCTGTGAAACCATGACAATTTCTTTTTGACAAATAAAAAGTTGCAAATTGTTTTATTGCATTTTCATTCTGCCATTCCCCGCATGCCACTGAAAAACCTCGAGCTGACATACACAGTTCCTCCCATTTTGCCCTCGCAACAATTCTAAGAGGTAGGCGAAGCCCTGAATGTATGACTGGCCCAGCGTCACCTTGGCTGGGCAAGCTCTTGAACCCGGATCTCCCGGATGCTAGGATGACCTTTTGCTGATTAGGTCACCCTTGCCTTCCCCCCCTGGGTAACTGTTTCGACGTACTGACTGGAGAGGTCTGCCACAATCCTGCACCCTGCTTGCGTGGAAGTAAACCCCACTGAACTCAATGGGACTTACTTCTGAAGAGCTGTGAACGGGATTGCACCATGAGCCAGGAAGTGAAGCGCTTTGTGGGTGCCAGGAATCTCCCCAGCAAATTGCCCACCCTGCTCTGCTTCCTAACAAATGACTCTGTCATGAAATAAAAAAGGAAGACTGGCACCAACATCATGGCACTCTTTTAATCTAGGGATGGGGAACCTCACATGCAGGAGCCAAATGTGGTCCTCCAAACCTCTGTTTGGCCCTTGAGAGTCTCCACAGGCCACACACTCTTGCAACCCTGCACTTCACTCTTCTGGAGTGTTTTCTGCCTAGTTGGAAGGTGTCCTTCAACTCTCATAATGAAAATATCATTCCCCTCCCACCAACCCTCTCCGTCCCTCTTTCTCCCCCCTCACTTTGCCCCCAACGTCTATGACAATAGTGTCTCATACTGAATGTATACAAACTGAAAAAAAAGACTCTATGGCTTGAAAGTGGAGATGCTATATGTACTTTCCCTTGTTTATTTGTTTGTTTTGTACCACAAATCTTTAACAAATAACTTATTGCTTCCCTGGATAGAGAGGAAGAGTGTGTGTAGGAACTAGCTTAGGAAAAGGTAAAGGTACCCCTGACCATTAGGTCCAGTCGTGGATGAGACTGGGGTTGCAGTGCTCATCTTGCTCTATAGGCCGAGGGAGCTGGCGTACAGCTTCCAGGTCATGTGGCCAGCATGGCTAAGCTGCTTCTGGCGAACCAGAGCAGCGCATGGAAACGCCGCTTACCTTCCCGCCGGAGTGGTACCTATTTATCTACTTGCACTTTGATGTGCTTTTGAACTGCTAGGTTGGGAGGAGCTAGGACCGAACAACGGGAGCTCACCCCGTTGCAGGGATTCGAACCTTCTGATCGGCAAGTCCTAGGCTCTGAGGTCTAACCCACAGCGCCACCGCGTCCCTTAGAAACTAGCTTAGTGTACAGAATAATATTTGCATCCATGGCTCCACCCACTTTGGGCCTCTGCTCCTGCCCACCACTGACTTGTGGCCCTTGAAAGGTTGTGCAGAAAGGGATGTGGCCCCCGGGCTGAGAAAGGCACCTCAGCCCTTGGCTAGTCAACCCAGTTCACGGGCTTCATTTTACAAAGCAGAAATAGACCCAAGCTTCCTACTTCCTCTTGCCACGGGATAGTGGCCTGACTCAACTCGAGTTCAAAAAGCTGTTGTAAGAGCTGGATGCTTTTGCAAACACATCACCCAGCTTTGAGCACTGGTCCATCGCTGTTCAAGAGCTACTTTTGCTGGTCTTGCCAGCTCCCCTTGTACTTCACCTCTTTGGGTGCTAGAGGGCGCCAGGATCCCTTCCCCCGACATCCCGCAGGCCCCAGAAGTGAAGAGGTGTAGCGTTTACGTTCCACCCCGAAGCATGCAAAAGAATGTGTATCTGCATGACACACTCCTGTCCTAGAATGCCACTCCTTAGCATCACACACTATTCCAAACTGCACCGCTTTCAGCGCTCTGCTGGTTAGGAAGAAATTCAATTCCGTCCACATTTAAAAGCGAAGCTACTGAATTTACACTTCCTGAAACAACACACCAAGAAATGCACACTTATAAATGCACACACC